CATTTTTTATCCAGACTGTCTACCCGGACGTTTAGAGAGGAAGTGGCGTGTCTGGTTGGGTGACATTTTTTTGCCCGGGCCAGTCCACCAAACATTTAGGGAATAGGTGTGTATGGGGGGGGGAGTGGGTGGGTCTGGTCTAGATGCTCTAGGAAGTACAAAGCACCTCAAACAAATAAAAAAGTTATAGAGGACCTTGCACCACCGCCTCTCATGAGAACTAGCCGCCAATGCGTTGTCGTTGCCGTTGCCCAAACGGAGCCGGCTTAACCTTGTAAATGGCAACAGGGAAGCCTTCGTGCACGTGCACTAAAGTCTAGCGCTCCAGTGCAGCAATCGACGCCGTTGGATCCCTGAATCAATCTGAAGTGCCTGACATCGGATTTCATTGTCACACACGTACAACGAAAAACCCTAACATCACCGCCCCAAGGGACGACCTAAATCTACGTCGGAGCTCCGCCTACTTCGTCCCAGTGGATGAACTCGAGGATGGTCGTGGCTTGGAAGACCAACTTGATGATGAAGCTTCACAATCCGCCGAGCTCCGCCCCCGCGAGAAAAAAAAACCTAACATAAACTATCGGCCAGAGCCAAGGCACCAGGACTCCCCTTCCTCCCACCGATTGGCCGAGGAGCATGCATATGGAGGTGGATCTATTGGCTCGCCGACGAAGCACAACAAGTTATATATGCCAAAAAGCATACTATTTGAAAGTTATATTATACACCAAACGCATACTATTTAAAAGTCCATGATATATCGGAAGCGTTTCATTTTCTTCTTTCATGTGATGGCGGTTTCCGACCGACGACTTGTCTTCATCTTCCCCAAATCTTGCTCCAACGGCTTGGGATTGCTCAGGCTCTTGCCCAGGGCGAAATCCTCGCTCGGCCTTTCGATGCCGGCAGCGGCGGCACCTGCGGGTGCCACACCCTTCTCGGAAGGGCTGCCATGGGCGTCATCTGTGTCTCTCTTCGAGCAGCGGGGGAAACCCGATGTCCGATTATCCAATGTTGGTCGTCGTGTTGGTTTGTTTTGGGCTTGCTTCCTAGGGCGGGCGAGTTTAGGGACCGAGCATCCCATGTCTCTATGCTCCGAGCATCATGCCCACGCCTTGTATATTTGTGCCATGCGTAGTATCATCTCTTGCGTTCGCAAGACTGAGCCGGTATATCACAGGAATAAATGCGAGCACCAGGATTTGAACCCTGGTGGGCTGGGAATACCACAGTCCCTCTAACCATCCAACCACAGGTTAGTTTGCAGTAGATCTGATTTTTTTGAATATATTTTTTTGAACATCAGTACAGACACAAAGCGCTCATATACACGCGCTGAATAGAAAAATTCCACGGAGGGTGAATGTGTATATATACGGCCAAAATCTGTTATCGCTCGCACGTCTGATCCGGTCTGAACGTGCTTGTGGCATACATGGCGACGTACCTTGCACAACCTTCTACGGGGTGCGGTAATTAAGGTTGCGTGACGTTACGTGCAACAGCCGCTTTCGCTTCCGACTCTCTCCCGTTTCGATAAGAACCAGCCAGCCAACGACCTCCCTTCCCCCCATCCCCATTGCTGCCCAGCAACAACACGCCTCCCTCCCGCGACCCCAAAATCATCAGTCAGCGCGAGCGAGAGATCTCTCCCTGCTTCTTCTTCCATGGAGAAGGCGATCGACCGGCAGCGCGTGCTCCTCGCGCACCTCCTCCCCTCCTCCTCCGCCGCCCCGTCCCGGATATCCGTGAGATCTCGTCCTCCCCGCGATTTTTTTTTCTTCCCCCTCTTCGTCCTCCTCCACGAGCTGACTGATTGGTTTGCGTGCAGGCGTCGGCGTGCGCGGCCGGGGACAGCGCCGCCTACCAGAGGAGCTCCTGCTTCGGGGACGACGTCGTCATCGTCGCGTAAGCATCCCCATCCTCCCCTCCCTCATCCGCCCACTCGCCCGCCGATCCAATCATTCTCTTCTTGGTAATAGCATATCTGTCTAGCGTGCGCTAACGGCAGGCCAATTGATGCTACAGTAGTTCCGATTCGTATCCTCTACTCCTTTAGTCTGGTTCAACGGAGATAATTAGCCACTGCTTCTTCAGCCGGTAGACAGCCGAGCCCCCAGCTGTAGTTGAGTGATTTGCAGGTGCTGGTGGTCATATATGCAGGGGGCTCATTTTTTTCCACAGCCTAATTAATCTTGTTGTCTTATAGTGCTGTCTTGCAAGCACACCAAGCATGCTAGATGATCGTGCCAATTATTTTCACAAGAACCAGCAACGCTTGATCCACAGACAGTGCACAGCTCAGAGTTCGGATCTTGTACTCTGCCAGCGGCCAGCTCATAATCATAGCTTCCGTCCAAACTGTTTACATCATAGGTTCTGGAAAAGCAGAGCGTTCCCTCCTGCTGCTATGCAAATCAGGGAACGGAATGATTACAATGGAACGGATGCCATGCTTGCTCTAATTACTACTCTCTTCTTCTTTGCCGTGACAACCCGCAGCGCCTACCGGACGCCGATATGCAAGGCCAAGCGAGGGGGCTTCAAGGACACGTACCCGGAGGACCTTCTTACTCCTGTCCTCAAGGTTTGCGCTCGTCGTCCTGCCGCCCTTTGTGGTTCAGTTCAGTGCTTCGTTATACCTCAGTTTGTTGATCTCCCAAATTTCCATGTATAGGCTGTCCTGGACAAAACTGGAATCAACCCAGCTGAAATCGGCGACGTTGTGGTCGGGACGGTGCTAGGCCCAGGTTCTCAGCGTGCGATCGAGTGCAGGACGTCATCTCTGTTAGCTGGAATTCCTGGTAAATACTGTGTTGTCAGAATCATATATCATATATGCCACCTCATATGAAAGAACAGGTTTCTTTCTTACGGACAGCGATTTCGATTTCCTTAATTCCCTCTCTGCTGATGCAGAGACCGTCCCCGTGAGAACTGTGAACCGCCAATGCTCATCGGGGCTACAGGCAGTAGCAGATGTTGCTGCTGCAATAAAAGCTGGTTTCTATGACATAGGTAATTACCATGTGCTTTATGCTACTTTTGCTGCATAGATGCTTTATTTTAAGTTAAATTAGAGGTGCTGAGCTACAGTTTTTGGGTCCAAAACAGGGATTGGTGCAGGTCTTGAATCCATGTCGGTGAACTCCGTTGGTTGGGAAGGCCAAGTAAACCCAAGAGTAAGGATTCTGGACGCACGCTGTACTTTGCTCCATGTAACTTACTCTGCTTGTGCCTTGGTAACACATTCTTCTTTGCAGGTCATTGAACTACAGAAAGCACAGGATTGTCTTCTACCCATGGGAATAACATCTGAAAATGTTGCTCAGCGATACGGTGTAACCAGAGAAGAGCAAGATAAGGCCGCTGTGAGTTCCTCAGGCATATGCACCATGTTTTAATTCCGTTGCTTCGCCCTACACATGAAAATGTGATTAAAGTTTGCCTTTTAACAGGCTGAGTCTCATGCGAGAGCTGCTGCAGCCACGGCTTCTGGAAAGTTCAAGGATGAGATTATTCCGGTGCATACAAAGGTAAACGACGTAGCTCCTTTTTTTGCACTATATATTTTTTATCTATCAGAAGTATTTAATATGAGCATTAATCACTAACATCATCTCATTCTGCAGCTTATTGACCCCAAAACTGGAGAGGAAAAGAAAGTTGTGATATCAGTGGATGATGGGATTAGGCCAGGGACCACGCTATCTGGATTGGCCAAGCTTAAGACAGTTTTTAAGAAGGATGGGACTACAACTGCAGGTATTCAGAACTCTTTGCTGGCACTACTGTTCCAAACAGAAGTCTGTCTGTCTGTATCTGAAAGATTCTATCTATTAAACCTATGTAGGTAATTCTAGCCAAGTGAGTGATGGTGCTGGAGCCGTTCTTCTCATGAAGAGATCTGTAGCGGTGAGCAAGGGGCTCCCTATACTTGGCGTTTTCAGGTGCGGCATCTGCCTCTCCCTCCTTATGTGTAGAAATAACATTGGTTAACAAGTTTTCTGAATGGTATTTGAGAAATACCTTACCTACATCTGCTGCTTTACTGACTTTATTGGTGTTTCCTCTAATCATAATTTCAGGAGTTTCGTTGCTGTTGGAGTGGATCCAGCTGTTATGGGCGTCGGTCCTGCGGTCGCCATACCTGCTGCAGTGAAGTCTGCTGGCCTTGAGATTGATGATATTGATCTCTTTGAATTGAACGAGGTATGTTCAGTTGTCACAACCCCTGCTTTTCTCTTATCTATGTAACGATTGTTGACGCCCTGTTCATCCATTTGTAGGCCTTTGCCTCCCAATTTGTCTACTGCTGCAACAAGCTGGGCCTCGACCGGTCAAAGGTGAACGTGAATGGAGGAGCCATCGCTATGGGGCATCCTCTTGGAGCAACAGGTAATTAACCGAACATCTGCTCGCCTGTATGCGAGATTTGATCAGCTGGTCCTTGGAGTGCGATGGTCCCAACAGAAGCACTGCTGTTGCAAATTATGAACTGTCGCCGTATCATGTGAGCAAAGAGTGTACTAACCTGGTGAGCCTGTTTGTTTTCTTCAGGCGCCCGGTGCATCTCTACGCTTCTGAACGAAATGAAGCGCCGGGGCAGGGACTGCAGATTTGGCGTGGTGACCATGTGCATCGGTTCGTTCTCTCCCCTCTGAACCCCGCTGCGCTGCTCACACACGCAGTTAAGAATAACGCGTTTGTTGCTGGTAACTGAACACGCTATGTCGTCGTGGATCGCAGGTTCCGGCATGGGAGCGGCGGCCGTGTTCGAGCGGGGCGACTCGGTGGACGAGCTCTCCAATGGGCGCCACACCCAGTCGCACAACTTCCTGTCCAAGGATGCTGCAAAGTAGAGGCGTGAAATGAAGTCGATCATCCTCAGGTATAGATCCTCACAAGCAGCAAAGGCAGACCCACAGCAGAAGAATAATTTTTACAGTCAAGGAAGAAGTTTGAAGAAATGTAATTTCGTGGGGGATAAAAAAGGATGCATTATCAGTAACGTAAATCTTTCGTGTACGCTTGCTCTGAATAAAAGATGTTTTTTTTTCCACGGTAACAAGCCTTGCTCTGATGGTGGAAATGCTCTGTTTTTTTTACAGTAGTACAACCGCGCCACTAGTAGGTGTACTGGGGTACTGGTCGATGTCATGTGGGGGTAGGTAGACACCGGACCACACTACTACTCGTATGTACTAGCAACGACACAAAATTAAATCAAAATCAGCTGTATATACGGTGGTGGGCACGGGGTTCAGTATTTTTTTGAAAATGTTGATTTCTTCACCCATGCCAATGCCATGGCATTTCATTTCCCGCATACACAAAAAAAAACATAATACTAGAGCAAATGAAACCTCCATTTTTCTCCCGTGGGGGTGGGTAGTAGTAGAGAAGAAAATGGATGGCCCATTATGACCGGAATGAAGTTTCACGTCAACTGCCGCGGCCATCGCCACCGACCAGCAGGCCGACGTCCCCCGCCATTCCTCGCCTCATTCCCGACATTCCTAGCTCTCTGGTGGCCGGCCGTGGCAGCTTCGCCATGGATGCGGGCTCAAGGTTGCCGCCAGGCCCCGACGACCATGGAGCTGCTGAAGTGGCCACGAGGCCCACGACTGGGGTCAGCTGCTTGTGCGGGTGATTTTGGGGACGAAGATGCCCATGGGAAAAAAAGAGAGAGGAAAATAAAAATAAAAAAAAGCATCAATGGATGGAATATTCGTTTTTACAGTAGAAATTTGCGGTATCTGTTCTACCGCACCATGTGCGGTCATAAACAGTTTTAAGATTCCCCTTATAATGGTTTTACGGTACCATGATACAAGAGATCTGCTAGAGAGCCTTGGCTTAATGGTTGGGCATGCGGTTGTGCAGCCTAACGATTCAAATTCAATTTTCAGAATTGACAGGTGATGTACAGGGGTTTCTCCTATTTATTGAGAATCAAGTTTGGTGTGTGGTGGAACCATTCATCAAAAAATATCTTGATACTCATTTTTTTTAAAAAAAAATCCGAGAACTATGTTTATCTTGATACTCATACTAAAATGTCCGTATGCATCCCTAGTTGGTGCAGAGGCCGGGGAAGTGAAATTCCCCCCCCCCCCATTATAAGCTGTACATGTTGCTGCTAACGTCCGACCCCCGCGTCATCCCCAGGGCGGCTCGGGGGAACCCTAGGTACGCTGCCGTGGCCCCCCTCTACAACACATCTCTGAAGGAAATATGCCCTAGAGGTAATAATAAAGTTATTATTTATTTCCTTATTTCATGATAACTGTTTATTATTCATGCTAGAATTGTATTAACCGGAAACATAATACATGTGTGAATACATAGACAAACATAGTGTCACTAGTATGCCTCTACTTGACTAGCTCGTTAATCAAAGATGGTTAAGTTTCCTAACCATAGACATGAGTTATCATTTGATTAACGGGATCACATCATTAGAAGAATGATGTGATTGACTTGACCCATTCTGTTAGCTTAGCACTTGATCATTTAGTATGTTGCTATTGCTTTCTTCATGACTTATACATGTTCCTACAACTATGAGATTATGCAACTCCCGTTTATCGGAGGAACACTTTGTGTGCTACCAAACGTCACAACGTAACTGGGTGATTATAAAGGAGCTCTACAGGTGTCTCCGAAGGTACATGTTGGGTTGGCGTATTTCGAGATTAGGATTTGTCACTCTGATTGTCGGAGAAGTATCTCTGGGCCCTCTCGGTAATGCACATCACTATAAAGCCTTGCAAGCAATATGACTAATGAGTTAGTTGCGGGATGATACATTACGTAACGAGTAAAGAGACTTGCCAGTAACGAGATTGAACTAGGTATTGAGATACTGACGACCGAATCTCGGGCAAGTAACATACCGATGACAAAGGGAACAACGTATGTTGTTATGCGGTTTGACCGATAAAGATCTTCGTAGAATATGTAGGAGCCAATATGAGCATCCAGGTTCCGCTATTGGTTATTGACCGGAAACGTGTCTCGGTCATGTCTACATTGTTCTCGAACCCGTAGGGTCCGCACGCTTAAGGTTTCGATGACAGTTATATTATGAGTTTATGAGTTTTGATGTACCGAAGGAGTTCGGAGTCCCGGATGAGATCGGGGACATGACGAGGAGTCTCGAAATGGCCGAGACATAAAGATCGATATATTGGACGACTATATTCGGAGTTCGGAAAGGTTCCGAGTGATTCAGGTATTTTTCAGAGTACCGGAGAGTTACGGGAATACGGGGAAGAGTATTGGGCCTTAATGGACCTTAGTGGGAAGGAGCCAGGAGGTGGCGCGCACCCCTCCCAAGCCCAGTCCGAATTGGACAAGGGGTTTGGGGCGCGGCCCCCCTCTCCCTTCCTTCTCCACTCCCCTCCTTTCCCCCCTTCTCCTAGTTGGACTAGGAAAGAAGGAAACCTACTCCTACTAGGAGTAGGAATCCTACTCCCTTGGCGCGCCCCTCCTAGGGCCGGCCTCCTCCTCCCTTGCTTCTTTCTATACGGGGGCAGGGGGCACCCCAAAGGAACAACAATTGACCCCTTGGATCTCTTAGCCGTGTGCGGTGCCCCCCTCCACCATAGTCCACCTCGATAATATCGTAGCGGTGCTTAGGCGAAGCCCTGCAATAGTAGAACATCAAGATCATCACCACGCCGTCGTGCTGACAGAACTCTCCCTCGACACTCGGCTGGATCGGAGTTCGAGGGACGTCATCGAGCTGAACGTGTGCTAGAACTCGGAGGTGTCGTAGTTTCGGTGCTTGATCGGTCGGGCCGTGAAGACGTACGACTACATCAACCGTGTTGTTCTAACGCTTCCGCTTTCGGTCTACGAGGATACATGGACACACTCTCCCCTCTCGTTGCTATGCATCACCATGATCTTGCATGTGCGTAGGAAAATTTTCTAAATTACTGTGTTCCCCAACAGTGGCATCCGAGCCTGGTTTTATGCGTAGATGTCATATGCACGAGTAGAACACAAGTGAGTTGTGGGCGATATAAGTCATACTGCTTACCAGCATGTCATACTTTGGTTCGGCGGTATTGTTGGATGAAGCGGCCCGGACCGACATTACGCGTACGCTTACGCGAGACTGGTTCTACCGATGTGCTTTGCACACAGGTGGCTGGCGGATGTCAGTTTCTCCAACTTTAGTTGAACCGAGTGTGGCTACGCCCGGTCCTTGCGAAGGTTAAAACAACACCAACTTGACAAACTATCGTTGTGGTTTTGATGCGTAGGTAAGAACGGTTCTTGCTAAGCCCGTAGCAGCCACGTAAAACTTGCAACAACAAAGTAGAGAACGTCTAACTTGTTTTTGCAGGGCATGTTGTGATGTGATATGGTCAAGACATGATGCTAAATTTTATTGTATGAGATGATCATGTTTTGTAACAGAGTTATCGGCAACTGGCAGGAGCCATATGGTTGTCGCTTTATTGTATGCAATGCAATCGTCCTGTAATGCTTTACTTTATCACTAAGAGGTAGCGATAGTCATAGAAACATAAGATTGGCGAGACGACAACGATGCTACGATGGAGATCAAGGTGTCACGCCGGTGACGATGGTGATCATGACGGTGCTTCGAAGATGGAGATCACAAGCACAAGATGATTATGGCCATATCATATCACTTATATTTATTGCACGTGATGTTTATCCTTTATGCATCTTATCTTGCTTTGATTGACGGTAGCATTTTAAGATGATCTCTTACTAAATTATCAAGAAGTGTTCTCCCTGAGTATGCACCGTTGCGAAAGTTCTTCGTGCTGAGACACCACGTGATGATCTGGTGTAATAGGCTCTACGTTCAAATACAATGGGTGCAAAACAGTTGCACACGCGGAATACTCATGTTAAACTTGACGAGCCTAGCATATACAGATATGGCCTCGAAACACGGAGACCAAAAGGTCGAGCGTGAATCATATAGTAGATATGATCAACATAGTGATGTTCACCATTGAAAACTACTCCATCTCACGTGATGATCGGACATGGTTTAGTTGATTTGGATCACGTGATCACTTAGATGACTAGAGAGATGTCTGTCTAAGTGGGAGTTCTTAAGTAATATGATTAATTGAACTTAAATTTATCATGAACTTAGTCCTGGTAGTATTTTGCAAATTATGTTGTAGATCAATAGCTTGCGTTGTTGCTTTCATATGTTTATTTTGATATGTTCCTAGAGAAAATTGTGTTGAAAGATGTTAGTAGCAATGATGCGGATTGGATCCGTGATCTGAGGTTTATCCTCATTGCTGCACAGAAGAATTATGTCCTTAATGCACCGCTAGGTGACAGACCTATTACAGGAGTAGATGCAGACGTTATGAATGTTTGGCTAGCTCAATATGATGACTACTTGATAGTTTAGTGCACCATGCTTAACGGCTTAGAATCGGGACTTCAAAGATATTTTGAACATCATGGACCATATGAGATGTTTCAAGAGTTGAAGTTAATATTTCAAGCAAATACCCAAGTTGAGAGATATGAAGTCTCCAACAAATTCTATGGCTAAAAGATAGAGGAGAATCGCTCAACTAGTGAGCATGTGCTCAGATTGTCTGGGTACTACAATCGCTTGAATCAAGTGGGAGTTAATCTTTCAGATAAGATAGTGATTGACAGAGTTCTCTAGTCACCATCACCAAGTTAGTAGAATTTTGTGATGAACTATAGTATGCAAGGGATGACGAAAACGATTCCCGAGCTCTTCGTGATGTTGAAATCGACGAATGTAGAAATCAAGAAAGAGCATCAAGTGTTGATAGTTGACAAGATCACTAGTTTCAAGAAAAGGGCAAAGGGAAAG